GCTCATTCGGATTTGGATTTTTTCTAGCTTTTTGTAAAGCTTTTTAATTTTTTATTGGTCATATCCGCCCTCTCAAGCCATATTTATTGGCTTTTAGTCACCAAAGTGAACAAATGCTTATAAATGCCTGTGATTCACAATGTTCACGTACACGAAGTCGTAAAGCATTTGTTTTACATTAAGTCATAAAGCGTTTGTTTTGCATTATTGCCAACAGACACGTGTCAATTCACTTTCATGTGCTGTTCGTTTTCCCACAGATAAAATCTAATTATTCCACGACTCGTTGAAATAAAGCTGTATATATTTCCCTACTAAATACACGGTTCTGCTGTGCGTTTTTCCACCGAATTATTACGTAAATATTGTGTTCGCCATTTCAATTTGGTCATAAATCCAAACTTGTTCCCCAGAGCGCAATGAAACTTGAGTGATGACCACAATGCATGTAGAGAAATGTGGCGTAAATATACAACATAAATTGGGAAATCTAAACAAGAATTGTAAATATTCTTTTTGTAATGTAAAGCTTGTTTACAAATCCGTTTTAGAAATTAGTTCTTTCAATGCCTTATATCAGCAATATGAAAAGTTCGGGCGCAATCATATCAGTATTATTTATTATTATTTGGTATTAGGGTCTATAATTTTTCTTTTTTCTTTTATTAATAAAACTGGCTTTTGAAAACGTTTTTATTTTATTTAAGTGCAGATGCGACGCAAAAGAAACTTGTTAGTCACTTGAAGGCGATAGTCTGGAGCTTCTTTCACCGCCCCTCCATCGTTTTGCGAGAATTTCCCTGAACAATGGCAAAGCTTTGTATGACAGTTTGTTGTTCTCGTCAGCGGCGAAGTTCATGAACAAATGCTAAAAAGCGAACAGGAAAATAGTATATGCCCGCTTTTATATATTTACATGCAAATTACTCATTGGGAAGATGAGTGCAACGGGCGGGGTAGAAGATATCTGGGTTTGAGTGACAAATTTGCATGTTTATGCGAAAAAATATTCGTTTGTTGTTATGAAAATTTTCCGTTTTCTACGCTTTTTGTCGTTTTTCATGTGTTGGCAACGCAGGGAATGTGGTATTTCGCGATCTGCGGCCACGCCAACTTATTTCCCTCGTCTGCATTTGAAATTGAAGTTGGCTTCCAGAGACGGAGATGTAGATGTCATCAGAATGCGTCGCGCAAATTTGGGTTTTAATAACAAATTCAATTTGACTTGAAGCAGTTTTTGATCCACATACGTGCGCACTGCGCAGCCACAGCGATAATTGCTTGTCCTCGGAAAATGGAAAGGAGCCAGCAAAACGAGAGGTCAGGCGAGACGAGAGGCTTTGTGCATTTTAATTGAATTTTTCCCCGCATTTTCCTGCTACTAGCCGCTGTATGTGCATGCTGAATTATTTTGTTTGCCGCCGACCGTCACAGAAAAAATTAAATCACAGCACGTTTGCTCTTACGCGCTGCCACTCCTGCGCGGATGCACTTGAGTGAGTTTCCATAAAGCGCAGGTCTGGGGAAAACAAACTGGAAACAAATCAGAAATTAACATAAAGGCCTCAGAGCCAACCAACCAACCAACCTGTATCTGTTGCTCATTCCTTTGTTGATCCACTTTTTTGAGCTGGGCATTGTTAGGCGGCCACGCCCACCGCCCACCGCCCAGCTAACGGTTTCAATTGTAGTACATCCACGGCAATTTGTTTGATTTCCCCCTGACTTTGCTGACATGTCCAACATTTTCACTGACCTGTCCCACGATGAAAAGCCTTGGCTGTGTGGGATTTTCCAGCCTCTTCCAGCACACAGAGGAAATTCATATTGGTTTCTTCTTACTGGTTCCGTATAATCCGAAGTTTCAGATCGCTGGTCTTTTGGGAAAGCCGTTGCTGGTGCTTAGTAATCTTTTAGGTAGCTCTTAGTATTTTATTTTACAATCATGGCATTCTCTACTCTCAATGTTTTCGGTGCAGGCGTCTATTGACATCTGAAATTACTTTTTGGCCCCACCCACATTTGATTTATTTCGTTTATTTCTTACGCCTGTCAATTTCAAACATTTGTCATTTGACACAAATAAAGTGAAATATGAAATTTTGTGACAGTTCTTCAAACATGTTTTCACCAAAAATCCCCCGGGGCTTTGGTTAGACTCCCTCGCTTGACCTGCAAATGATTTTTGATATTTAAACCGGTTTTCGTTTTTGGTTTTAAATCATGTTCATTCATTTCTTCGTTTTATTTAAATTCAAACTGCAAGTAGGCATTTTCATTTATTTGTGCCAGCCGCTGTACTCTTTCTCCCACATTAAAATTTAAATTCATATCGACCATTTTTCTTACCAATTTTCCACAAAACCCACAAATTAAAATGAATTGAGCAAATTTGTTTGGGTACATAAAGTATTATTGCCATAAATAACAGCAAGCCTTTTGCTCGCTTTATTTTTCTCCCTATTCGCTTGTTGGTTTCTGCCGATTATTAGCTAAAGTACACACGCGGCCATTAATAAAATCCGAAATCATGGCAAACGGGTAGAACAAAAATTACGCATACGCCGCGTGGTACGATACAAACTTGACATTGAACTTGCCGCTGGCCGTTCGATATTCGGAAGGCCATTCGAGGACGGGTGGCGACAGTTTTGGGTGACATTAAATATTCATTTGTCAGTCGTTTGCCTTGGCAACAATAAAAAGTGGCCCCAACAGGGCCGAGAAAAGATATGGCGAAAAAGGGACAATATTTTTAATTGTTGGACCAAAATGTTCGATATAAATAGAACGAACGTCCCTCTGTCTCTTGGGGTGCAAGTTATCTTGTGGGGCTGTTTCCTAGGGACGTTGATGGGTGGTCGTAATGAAGCCACATAAATCTCGGCACTAAATATATTTGCCAAGTTCGGGGAGCTGGGGAAGTGGGGCAATTAATCTTTCTCTGGCAGATATATAAAAGTTTGCGAACAGCAACTGACGAAAATCTGTAAGCTGATGGTTAAAATTATGCATTTTATGCTGACAATATTTTTGTAGAGTACTGTATATTTTGTACTAATTTGCTAAGCATTTTTGTAGTAGATAAATTATTCATATATACAAATTGAGGAATGTGATGATATTTGGTAAGTTGAAAAAAACGTACCACTTGAATCATAATCCATCATAAAAGGAATGTTGTTACAGATATCTCCTGTTGCTAATATTACGCCCCTGACTGTAGCTGAAAACTTTTTTTGGCTGGCTGGCCAGGACACGTAAAAAAACACTCAAGGGAGGAAAGTCGTTTGCCTTTTGGGAAAACGGGCAGGCGACATCCTCGGGCCACAAAAGTAATAGCACAATAAATGTGCATCAGGCAGCCAGAAATCACCGCAGTTAGGAGGCTCCGCTTGCCCCTGTGCGTGTAAATTATAGATAACCGTGTTAATGTTGCAGTGCCACTCCCCCTTTTCCCCGCGAAATGGTTCTTTGAACGGCGACAGCCCCCAAACAAACAAAGTTGCCTGTGAAAAGTTGTTGGCCCCGCCAGAAGTTGGCCGAAAGTGTGCCAAGAGCGTCAGCGGATACGCGATACATTTCCACAGCAACTTCCTGCGTGTCCTGGACAAATTCTGCCATCCTCCCTGTGGAAGTGTAAGGAGCTTCCTTAGTTGCTCCCTCGAATTTGTTGATTATTATTTATGGGTGCTGCCGTCGGGGCATTGACAACTTTAAAACGCGTTCGAGTGTTTATCACTTTCGCTTTTAGCATTTCCACTCTGTTTTGGGAAAATTAGCAATTTAAATAATTTAATTACGCCGTGACCTGCAATTTGCGGCGCTAATTAAAACGTGCCAATGTCCACGTGCCTCGGCTAGCTTTTCAGGTATTTGAGTTAGAGAAGCTAACGAAATTTGAACGCTCCATATTCATTAGTTATGCGCTTTGCCTCTGAATTTGTTTGCCTGTAAGTACACGTAGTTTTCGGTTACAACTTTTTTAAAGGTATTTGCATAGGACGTGAGCTCTTTGAAATGTAAATTTGTTCACTGTTCATGCAAATGTATCATTCTGTGTAGGAGTCCTAATTGGTTTTGGATTTCGGTTTTATTAGCCTACAGCTTAAACTAGACTGTCACAGTGAAAAATCGGCGGAAACTGTGGAAATTACATTTATTTGGATTCATTTTTCAGCTTATTACACACGTTGTGCAAAACATAAATGCTCTAAACTCTTTTGTCTGTAATTATTCACTTAACACCAGCCGATTAAAACTGAATGAACAATTACTCACATTGTCAAATGTATTTAACCATTTTTGATCTTGCTAAGTAAATGAAATTTGGCAAATTGTTCATTGAGCATAAATTTGTGTATTATATTGCTTGTTTACGATTTGAGTTTCTGGAGCGGAAATTGATTGTGTTTAATTTCCAGCACAGCGACCACAATGAAAACGTATATATACAGTTTTTGTTTTATTTTTTAACTTGGCAGCAATTGCAGCAGGGCAACAAAGTAAATACAATATTAGAGAGCCAGAGAATCCGAAACTGAAACTCGTGTTGCGACTGGGAATTGTTTTACGCGGTATTTGTGGGCATATAGTGTTTGTGCATTCATTTAGGTATTCATGTCATGGATTAAAAATATCACTTCACACGATTACCCCCTAGTTTTGATGTATTCACTTCACGCAACTCATTCGAGAATTGAATATTATAATTATATCATTACATTGACTTGTGCATTTGAATTTCGTTTCTAAATAAGTTCAGTTACCGTGTCAATTATTGACTAGATTTCTATTCGTGAACCAGGTATCTTAAAGTCGCGTTTCAAATATAAGGTGCAGCTGTTTTTATTGTCGGTTGCCAACTTTGCGAGGTGGCGGAAAATGGAAAATGGAAAAAGGGAATTGCATTAACTCCACTTGAAGCGAAAACCACAGCCGAAAAGCTTTTGCCACAGAAATCTAATTTAGCACTCTCGCTCTTCTCTTTTTCCAACTAGATGTCGCATCAACTGCAGCAGACACGCCGCCGTTTGGGCTCCGTTAGCGATTCGGCGCCACCATCGGAGTCCAGTGAGGGCACCGGCTCCTCCCTGGAGCCCCGGGATGAGCTGATCCTCCATCCGGACTGGTCGGCCCACTCGCACTCGTCGGCACAGAGAAGCAGCGCCCATGGAACCACATCGCTGTACAATGCCTCGGATATCGATGCGGATACCATTAGCACGGACACCACGAGCAACACAAATCTGTCGGACTACGAACGTGGTCAGGTGGAGAGTTTCTTCGGCGGATTGGGCACTGAGATATTCGTGAGCGGTGCTTTGGCCAATCTCTACGAGGGAACCGGAAACGATGGCGACTGGCGTTTGGTGTTCACTGGCATACCGGTGATACTCCACGACAAGGGAAACTCCAAGGCCAGAGCTATACCCAGAGTGACTCTGGTTCTGGCGGAGAGGGGCTCCTGCTTCGCCCTGTGGTCGGATCGGATTGATAACTTGTCGAACTATCGAATCGCAGGCCCCTCGTTCCACACCATGTGCCGGTCCAGCAATCATCAGCAGATGATTGGCTTCAGTTTCGATTCCACGGACGCGGCCCGCGAGTTGTGGCAGCAAGTGGAGCGTTTGGTCAGCAATCCAGAGGATGAGGCTCTAACCGTGGCCGCAAACCGGAAGTCCAAGAAACAGAAGCGCGTCAAGCCGGCTCCCTTGCCGCCAAAGTCGCAGATTTCGCATCCATGCCAGTTCCACCACGTGACCAGTGTGGTGAAGGAGGACAGTGAGCGGTACTACAGCATGCAGGCCTTCGGACCCCCCAATCCCCAGCAGCATCGTTGAGTAGGGTCGGGCGCGTGGATCTGGAACAGGAGCGCCCTATGGTGGCAGAACTGAGTCTGCCTCGAAATACCCCACAACCACGACAAAAATCCAGCAAAACCCCTTAGTTCGTATGGCTAGTTATAGATCCATTTGTTATAGGCCTAAGTTATGCCAATGTGTGATCCGAGTACGGAACTCGGCCAACACATTTATCTGTGATACGATTTAGGCGACTTTACTTTAGAAGAGGATACTGATAATACAATTTGATAAAGAGCATTTTTAAACGAAGAACGTGGCAAGTGAAGCGAGAACTTTTGCGAGTTATTTAAACACATTTAACGATTAACGTTTGTCGATAAGCAAGTTTTTGTAAAACCTTTTCTAATATCACGCATAGACACATATACCCTTATGCATAATTATATTCTTACCATATAGTCCTGATATCTATCGAGTAATCTGTATGTCCACACTCGCAGGCACTGCGAATGATATTGATGCCTGAAAAGCTTGCTTTCCTATCGGATTATTGACTAAGCCCAGACAAAGATACAAAAACTGTTTTTTGAAATCTATGTATCATATTACACACATAAATATATTACTATATTACACCTATCTATATATTATATGTAGTTCTAAGCACTACATCATAGCCACTTGTCTGTATATCTCTGAGCTACATATTTTGCCTGTGCAAAACAATCGCGAGAATCAAATAAAGCTGACAAAAAAGCAAAATAAATGTGCAAATAATTCTTTATTGGCTTGTTTTTGAGGTAATCTAAATCACTTAATCAGGTTTCATATTATTAAATAATCTGATTATTTGCAGTGATAGTTCGGGTGTGGATTTGAATATGTCATTATGCAATATATAGAAAAAAATAAAGTTAATGAAGGTAATAATCAAAAAGCAAATGAACCAAGTGAATAAAGCTTTAGGTGTTTGGTGTGATACTAACATTTCAATATTAATTGTCTGCAGCGGCTTATGAAAGTGCAATGAGCTGCTATGAATTTCCTTCAGTTGCAAGCTCTCCAAATTCAATGACATAATCTAGCATATCAAACTTCAATCATTTACCCCCATGACTCAATTACTTACCATTGAATGCACCGCCAATTACAATAACAATTAAAGCCATTACGACTGGAGAAGTGAGCCCGCATAATAATGCACACCCATGCATATGGAGATACATATATGCACCGAAATATATGGATGCTGCTCCGAAACGGGAGCTGATTCTGTTTCTGATTGACCGATGGCAGCCACAGCCATAAATGATGTTGCGGTGCACTCGGGTGACACTCGACCAGCACTCAACTCCCCTTTTGGCCAATAGCACGGGCGCGCTGCAATTTATGCTAATTAAGGCACATCGAGTGGCGGCCAGGAGTGGTGGACAGTCTCTTGCATTTTATGGGCGCTTTTCGTTTTATTGTTTTATGTGTGCATCGCCATTGTTAATGATATTGTGGTGAGCATTTAATATTTCATGTCGGACAATTAAAATAGCAACAATTTTTGCTTGCGCCGCTGTTGAATAATGTGTGCAGTTATGCCGACTTGGCCAACAGCTCGACTCCCAGGCGGACTCCAAATGGACGGGCATCCATCGCGCTGATGCAATGGAAGCGCAATTGTTTCGCTGCCAGGCGACACTTGATTCCCACAGCAGAAAGTCTAATTAAGTGCCGACCTTGATTAAGTGCGAACAATGCAAGGGAATTGAAACAATGCGGGGAAATGGGTTAAGCATGAGTTAAAATACACGAAGTGGCGGCGTGGTCTCTAGATCAGGTCGTATTATGGGTCGGTGCTCAGACTGTACTTTGTATATCATACAACTCAGATAAGACAAACTGCAAACAAAGCACTTACTATTCGGCCAACTTCGTGTTGATAAATGCAAGGCGTAATTATGGCTCTAATTCATTAGGATTATTATGCACAGGAGAACGAGTAAAAGCGCTTGGCTATCTGGAGGCTCTCAAATTTAATCGATTTCGCTTGTCATTCATGAGTATTACGGGGCCTTCGGAACCCATCATTCTCCTCCGATTTCCATTCAAAATACAAACCAAAGCGATTTAATCAAAAACATGCTAAGCCGGCAAAAATACAGTTTTGCATTCAAGTTCGCAGTGGTCGATGTGTGTGTAATGGCCAATTCACTGGTTGCATTTTTGATGCAAGCGGAGCAATCGGACTAATGGCAAAAGCAATCCCCATGATTCCGCAGCTGCCATTCCCCAGTCCGGAGAACTGATCCCTGCCAAAACATGCAAATTCATGGACAAAGCCATTCCTAACTCAACTCACAACTCTGTGGAAAAATTCAAAAATTGCATTTGCGTTCAGTTTCGAAATGGAGATTGCCCCCACACAAAATATGCACAGGGAAAAATATTCCAAAGCTCAAACAAACAACAAATATTCCCAAAGAAATGTGGATAGTACTATTCTATCACCAGGCGATTTTAAAAAAATTCCTGCTCAGTCCAAAGTCTTAATGCAATTAGCATTTCAAAAATGTTCTAGGTGCCTAACATTTTCTTGACTGTACCAGCTTCTATTTCTATTTGGCTGTGGGTGCATGGGTGAGCCGCAAACATTTTGATTATTTTAGTTGACTGGTGCAAAAGTACGGCTTAATTGTTGCCAACAAACAATAAGCGGAAGCTTGTGGCTTTAACGAATCTCGACAACCACAACGAGGGTGATGGCAAGTTGGCCAAAATGTCAATGTAAGCCCACAATCGGCAGCATTAAATTCATCTCAGATGCCAGTCAGGCACCCACCCTACGATGATGATGATGATGATGGTGATGATGGTGATGATGCTGCTCTGACTCTTTTGTGCTAGAAAAATACCATTACACCCGAAAGAAAAGTAGATGTTTTGCTCCAAGGTAAGGCGTTGCTAGCGGTTTCAGATCCATTTCTTCACTTTCCTTCCATCCTTTATGGCAGCTTTTCAACGCGTGTTCTGTATTTGTAAACAATTTGGAGTGACACCAAAGGCACTTGTGACCTTCCCAGTCCGCCTTCTTTTCCACCCATCCAGCTTTTGTGCCGAGCACACGTATATTTATTTTGGACCCTGCACCACACGCATCATGTTTGGCTTTGTGGACTTAAACTTGTCCGCATTTCCATAGTTTGTGTCCTAGTTTCTGCTTGGCAACGCACTTCGAATGCCACTTTCCTGAGGGCAGCAAAACCGAAATCCCAACCACTTTTTGAGCGGAGGGAAATACGCATAAAGTGCCAGTCTCATTTGAATTGCATACAATTTTAATGCATATTTCTCACAATGTTTCACTATTTTTATTTGCAATAATCAGGCTATGCTATGAAAATTTAGAGTATTCTATTGCTTCGCATTCGAGTCCATTGAACTGAAGCCCACAAAGTGAGCCTAAATACCTCATCCATTTACATAATTTAGTCCCTGACAGACGGGCAATTTGTTAAGAACGCAGAGTGTTAAATCAAATTCTCAACGATATTAATTATGGGCTAGGCTTCCTCCTTCCCTCCCCCTGCCTTGCCCGATTTGCAGTCTGGCTTCTCTTGCGGCCTATGCCACACCTGAGTGACTGCGACTCTAATGGCCGCATCTCCTGCACTGTGGAACTCCCCTGTTCCAACTTTACCTCCTCCTCGAAGCGAGAGATCAAAAGTCGCCAGGAGACACGGAGCGGGGATGCAGAGGTAGCAGATCAAAGAGTTCAACCTGTTGGAGAAGAAGGAGCTCAACTGCAAAACGAAGCGAAATGCACTCCCCGCTGTTAGCAACTCATACTCCTGGCTCATGTGGCAAGATCGGGCTGAAAATAAGCGGCAGAGCCCACAGGCACACATGTGGCAACCAGCACCGCCCGCTCGTCCCCTCATAAACATGTTTCTGGATATGTTTGTCTTCTGTTCACTGTGAAAAATGACTTAAAAATGGGAACAAATCGCAGAAAAAACAAAATTATTAAGATAATATTATAAGTAAAGTAATAATTTGTATGACAAATTAAAGATATTGAATAATAATATCGACTGCGTTGGAATTTCATATGAGTATCCTATTATTATTAATTGGCACAAATTGTTTATTTTAAAAGTTTGTTTTTTGTTTTATACATTCCAAATATATACGAATATTTGTTTGTTTTATAAATTCCTATATACGTAACTGATCCCATAAACTGATAGGCATTTTCTGCGAGTGTTCTTGTTCTGTGTGCAGCCGAGATTCCTCTCTCCTGGCCACGGGAACTGGAGGAAGTCAAGCGAGGCGATCTCGACGGCCAAGTTCATTGCTCTGGGTGTCGTCTGTGGCGAGTCTGTGGGGCAAGTGATGAGGATGGGGCGGGCATTAGTTACCACTCACGTGTGTTGTGTAATTTCGAACATGCAAAAATATGCATCTTGATTGGCGTTGACGACTCTTCAGTGGGATTGCCATGTAGATTCGCATTACAAGCGTTTACTGAACTTTTGATTAATTGCACATTTCCAGGCGCCACCGTTTGCCTTGCATATGAACTTGGTCCGGAAAACGGGTTGCATGTGGTGCAGTCAATTTTGATTTATTTGACAGGCTCCCGAGATGCGGCAGGCGCTACAATGCGTTTGACACTTTTCCCATTTGCATAATTCCGCCGATGGTCCAGGTCGGTGGAACTGGTGTAATAATGGCCAGGCAAGTCAATCAACCAGGTCTGAAATGGTGGGGCTACCTTGGTCCAGCGGGTGAGCGACCGACCGAAAGTGTTTTAGCTGCAACCATGTTGTGGTTTTGATGGCCAGGTATTTGCATTATCTTTCATAGGTATCAATCTGTTTAAAATGAAGCATTCTACAGCTGAATTACACTTAAAATCAACTGCTTCTCTATTCAATTTATCCACCTTACGGCCGCTCTGAGAACTACTTACCAGCAGCGCTCTCATGGCCAATTTCGGAAACTTTAAACTATACATGTAGATAGTGCTGACACTTTTTCTACACAGTTATAGCTAAACGACAGTTGAGGTTCGCAGAAAAAAGTAATGGCACACTACTATTTACACTAAGTATCAATTTCAAATGAGTGCTTTTTCTAAGGTACTCTAATGGAACTTTCAGCAGTTGGCCTTCGATTGCGTTAAAATGAAGTTCATATTTTTCTGCATGGTAGCCCTAATTTTAGTGGCGTCTATGGAGTCCATGATATTTGTGAAGATACTGCACAGTGATAGTAAGCCTTAAGAAAGCGTAAGATGTAAGAATGGTGATATCTGTTTGAAATACATTGGTAGAGTATCCCGGGCAGTGTTACCCCATCCATGTGCGAGTGGGTAAAAAGAAGAAATACGATGTTTTTGCCCTACAACCTGGCGAGGAGGTCAGTGACCCAAACACCTGCGGCGTACAGGTCTGCATGACCGCCGCTGGACTAACCTATGTGTACTAGTAAGATCGATCCAATAGGAAGTAGTGTACCCTGATGTACTTGATATCCAAGCTACTTTCCAGCTGTCCTCGCACTTTGCCGAGCAGTGGCTGCCAGGACGACGAAGCCATGGACACGTTGCTGAAATTCCCGGAATGCTGTTGGACTTGTGCCACCAGTAAGGATTGCGATGAAAGCGAGTCCTTTCCTTCTTATCCGTATCCTCCCATAATGCGTGATCACCAGCTTGCATAACTGTGCCAAAATATTTCTATGAATTACACAGCAACATAATTTAAAAGAAAA